TCTTTTTAAATTGTTTTTTTTCAACATCACTGTCTGTTCATTTATTTTTGTATTATAAATTGCAGTAAATAGTACTATCCAATTTGTATTTTATTTTTTTTTATTATTGTGTATGTCTCTGTAGGTTTTATTTGTACTCTTCTCATTTCTCAATCACAAGGTCCAAATCTTCAAACTCTTCATCCAGCTTCTAAGTCTTTGATTTCCAGAAACAAATATCTTCCCTTAACTCTTATACCTTGGTCATGGACTGTACTGAGGATAAGCTGTAATTCATTGATCACTCTGTTTTTTCCCAATAATTTCCATGAGTGAAATTCAATCATGCACTCTACTGGCATTCAAAATAGAGCAAGATTTCAAGTTCTAGTCTGAACACCTTACAATCACAGGATAACTAGTATAGTTGAGCTTCGGGTTTAAATTCAAGCGAACTCTTAATTTACTCCTTGTTTCTGTAGAAGACTGACTTCCTGAAGCATGGTGAACATTTGGAGGCCTCACATAATTACCCCTGGTGTTTCTGAGGACAGTAGAGATGAAGCATTTCCCAGAAGAGCTAGTCCATATTTTATGTGGACAAGAGGATACAAGCAGCAATCAGCAGGTTTAATCTCTGTAGCTGTTTGAGGCCCAAATAGCCCCGGTGGCTGGAAAATGCTCTTCTATGTTTATATGTAGAGCTTGCTATTCGTGCAGTCTGCCCATGAAGGTTTTGTAGTTTTTCTTAATCTGCTTCAAACTAGGCCAGCTGTGTTTGTTTATATGGCCTGAAATAAATAGAGAGCTAGCACTTCAGCATGCCTGCCAGCAGGGGCAAAACCTCCAGTAGGTGAATGGAGAAATTAAGGACATTCAATGTCTGCCCAAGGCCTCATTGTCTGAGTCAGCAAAGCTGTTGTGCAGCTTAGCTCTCAGCTGTTCCAGGGAGACTTACTGGAGCTGAAAGTTGCCTTTGCCTTAGTACTTAGCTTGGTTGGGTAATAGAAAAGATAATTCATAGCAGACGCTTCTCACTTGTTTTTCCAAGCATGTGTGAAACAGAGCCTGTGGATATTGGTTGAGAGCATGAACCAATGCACAATGTGGCCTGAAAACAGTATTTTTACCAGCATACTTGTGTGTGCCCCTAAATACTTGTTCCTTGGACACATGTACTGCACTTAATAATAACTGATTTGTATAACTGTGATGGACAGGAATCTGAGGAATGGTATCAAGTAATACTGGAGAAACACTGTTAAGATTTCATCTCTGGAAAAATCTTGCTTATTTGTTGATCTGAGGTTACTAAGCTTCTTGATGAAGAAGTTAAATACTGTACCCATATAGTTCATTAAACATGCTGTGATCTTTTACCTACTTCGTGATGTTATGGGTTATTCCAAGAATTACTTTATATGAAAAATTTGCTCTTATGTTGATGTGGAATCTACTGGAGTAATTCAGGATGAAAATTCTGTATTAGCGTGCTATTTCTTTCCTAGAGTAGTCCATGAACAAGCTCATGTCCTAGATTAATGTGTAAATAACACATGACACTGTTGGACCAAGAAGTCTCTTCATTTTGCAAAATACCGAAATTGTGCTCTAAGCTGTTGCTGAATTCTCTGTAAAAATTGAGCAAGTCCAAGCTAAAAGGACCCAATGTCATTTGGCCAAATTAGGTTATTTTAATGAAAGAAGTCTTTTTGCCGGTGTTAGAAGTGCAGATGACTTCATGCAAAATAAAGACTGCTTGTGGTTTGGTAATTGCTTCCTTTACCAACAGTGTATGTCTTGGTTCTTTATCTTCATTTTGCTTCTATTCACTTTCTTCCTGCAAGCTTTCTGTTTATCCAGTAGCTCAGCTCATTGCTGCATCTATTTACTTTTTTCCCCCTGCACTGCAGTTTAGTTAGAAGCAACTCTTTGTGTTAACTGCTGATAGGAAAAAGTACAAGGGACAATGTTTGTAGGATGTTGGCTGCGTTGTTAACAGAATTTTTCAAGATTTCTGAGTAACTGATGATACATCAACCATCAATCCAAATCCAGGTCCAGAGAGACACTTTAAAATTTTAGTGCTTAACAGAGCTTGAAATATGCACCTGTCCTCCTCTCTACCCTGCGATTACAGACTGAAGGAAAGATAGACTCCTATAATTATTTACATGTCAAAACACTGTCTGCCAATAACTATCTCGTTGATGTTTGCTAGTGCTTTGTACTATGTGTTCCCATCGTTTTGATATAAGAAAGTTTGGCACGCACAGAAAAATGTAAGAACCAAAAGCTGTCCTCTATGGAGGAACAAACAGTGTATTTTAAGAAAAATAAATATAAAAGTTAGCTCTCTCTAGACCCAAAGGAAATAGATTACACATGTGTTCTCTAAAGGTGCATGATATTTTTGAATTATGATATTCCAGAACTCATACATTAACATTTGCTTTTTGTAAACATGTGGATCTTTATTATTTTTCCTAAAACCCAGGTTATATCATCAGTCATGGTTATGAATGAAGCAGTAACAGTTTTTTAATTATTGCTGTCCAGTACTCCTGATGAAAGATATAAGACCTAGACAGAAGAGCAAGTTGTGATGGTTCTAGAGCAGTTTGTAGCTAATTCTGATCTCGTTTATAAATTGAAAATATTAAGCTTTCTGGCTTAGGCATAGCTTTAATAATAACATATATCATGTTAAGTAAATGTATGTTTCCTTCATCTTCAAAGCATGTAAAAAATTTCAGGTAATACACTTGTGGTGATGCAGCTAAATATTTTTTTACCTTACAAGTGGAAATGAAGGTGCCTATACAAATGAATAAGCCAAAGCCACAAGGTGAGGACGTTTCAGATCCAGGCTAAGAACTGTGAAAGTTCAGCTTCACATAGCTGTACTTAATACTAGTTCAAGAGTCTAAATTCGTGAAGACACTCAAATATGTCTAAATGTATGAATAATCTCTTTGACCATGACACTGTCCATGGTGTGGTGTTTAACACTGTGCTTGAGCTCAAGTGCTTTCCTAATTTAAAGCTAGAAAGGCATTCTTTAATTTGAATTTCGTATTTCAGCTTTTTCACCATATGAGGAAGCTTTGAACACCAATTTTTTTTCCTTTCATAGGAAGAAACTTTGTAGATAAAGACATAAGAAGCATAAATTGTATATTTGGAGTGATACATCTATACTTTGTTTATTTTTTTTTTTTTTAAATGGGAATACTCAGGGTCAAAAACTATAGGTACTTAGTAAGTGAATCTGAGAGATAACATTGCTTTGATTTCCCAAAAAGCAGTGATGCTGAATTTCTAGCAATAGCATTTTTCTACATCTGCTGCTCTTCCCAGAGATGGCTCCCAGCTGAACCTCTCTGTGTACTAGAGTACACCTCCTGCCTAACATGCCATAGGTTGCACTTATGTTTTCTCATCTCTGCTCATCCTTTCCCCCATGCTCACAGTAGGGCCTCTATTTAAGTCAGAAAATATCGTCGTCTGCAATTGTTCGCAAGTGAAGTATTCCCTTGATATTTTTCTTTCTGTGATTTCAGTTTTGGTAATGTGGATGTTGCTGCTAAAGATGTGTGTTAAAGCATAAACATGGATGAAAAAGTTACCCTTTTAGGTCTGGGACTTAAAAAAGCCAAACCTTTTGGAAGGCAGGCTATTAAATTCCCCTGAGAATAAATTAAAGATGTTTCCTGAAAATTCTGGTCTTGATTATCAGTGCACTGTGTTTTTTCCATAATTTTTTTTCAGGTTTAAGAATAACCAATGTCTTGCTCATCATAGTGACCCACCAGACAGGTGTCAATCAAACATTTGCATAAGCACAGATCACCAAAGGTTGCTCGGTGTTTTAAAGGAAAGGCATTTTTAGCTTTTGCCTTTGAAAGTGCAGGTCAAGCACTCTATCCGGCATTAAAGATTTTTCTCAATTCATCACTCAATTGACTCAGTAACCTGACCATTATTAACCCAGACCATTAAATGCTTTTAACCCTTTTCCGTGGAAAGAAGGGGCCTCTCAAGTATGAACAATTTCAATGAATGTATTAATTTCATACAGTTGCCATTTGCCCTATAGCATTGGTTTGCTTTAGTGATATACTTTATAAAGACAATTCAAAAACTAAAAGAAGCTTTTCTTGCAATTTGTTTTACTGCACTGAAGATTTTTGTTAAGATATAAAACATTATATCTTGGAGGTATCAGTAGAAACTGTAATAACACAAACTGGTATGTTCCATACAGGTGTGAAAGGTGAATGCATTTAAGGCAAGTTAAGAAAGCATCTAGGGGTGTGGGGAACTAGTATAGTGCAGCAAAAATAAATGGCAATGAAAAAAACATCCCTTCTGCTGACTAATTAGAGGAACACAAAGAAACCCTGTATACAAATAGTGTTTGTCTTAAATACATAGCACTGATATTTAACCATATATTCTTTCTGTGACCAGAAGTGAAGGCTGTTGCAGAAGTTAGTACAAATAATAATTTAACTCCTCCTTCTCCAACCATGTTAAAATTAAATATACAAGCAGTAAAGCTCTACTGTAGTATGCCCTGTGAGGTGATTAATTACACTCAGGCAAGTATATTTACGGGAATGGCTGCTGCCTTTGAAAGGGCACTGAGTTCTCCACATGTGAAGAAGACCTACGAGATGTTTGTTCCTCAAACTGTGCATGCATTATGTGGTTTTGCAAGGAATCCAGACCTCTTGTTTGCTTAGGGTTTTGTTTCTGCTATGGAATGCTTTTGGGAGAAAGTTTTTTTCCAAGGCAGGACAAGTTTTGTCATTTGCTGTTATCAAAGAGCAACAAAGAAAGCAGAATTCAGCACAAGCTTAGTGCTGTATTTTTACCGATCAGCAAGACCTGCATCTGATGTTAAATGGGCCATACTCCATCTGAGTCAGTGGATGCTTGCTGAATGGTACCGAAACAGTTCCTGTGCTAAGATATTACTGCCAATCGCTAACTACTTTTGTATTTCTTTTTGCCAGACCTGTTTCCACCCACTGCTGTCCCATGCCATTAGCTGTGGACTGTAATAGAAGCTCAGAATTTGGATCTCCTTGTTCAGAATTTCAGCAGGTAGCACCTTCTCCTATCTATTTTCAGGGAGGGTACAGAACGGGGAAGTGGCAGATTATTTTTTTTCTTGTTTCTTTTCCTTCAGAGTAATCATAGTCTGCATGATCATCCAGACACAAAGCCTGATTAAATTCTTTGAGGTAACAACAATATGATTATGAGTAACTGCTTGTGGCTAACGGGTGAATGAAAAGCCACATTATGAATAATCTGTTTCTTTATAAAAACTTAATAATGGCCTAAAACAAGATTAGATAATGACACTGAGGGGTTTTATCATGCAAAATGATATCCGCATTGTCAGATATGTAGATGTTTAATAATAGTAGCAGAATTCCTGTTAAAGCAATGACTTGTGTGTTGTACTGTCTTTCCAACTTTTACTGTATTTTGTATTCTTGGCATAAGGTAGCTTGATGTTTTCAATAGTTTTTATATAGCTAGGAATTTTTTTGGGTTTTTTTTTGTGGAGATGTCTTTCTGTCATCGTTTTTAATGATTTTGCTAGCCTATCACATTTGTAGATTTGGCATGTTGGCATATGAAAACAACCTGATTCATGACTAAAATGGTATTTTTTACCTTGCTAGTTACAATTTTAAACGCTACAGAGCTGCTTCTGTGTGGGCGATGAGGGCATCGTCATCAGTGTAAAGCAGCTCCCGGACAAGATGGTTTAAGGTCTTAGTGTGGACCTTCAGTCGCCTTAGGTTGAAAAGGCTTCCATCAGTATGATATCTTCTTCATCAAGGTCTGCTGTGGCCCTTTAGAGCATCATGCTGAAAAAGACTGTGAATAGGGTTGGTGCAAGAACGCATCCTGCTTTGCAGAGGCTGCTGAGCTTTTTGGACTGGAAGTCAGTTTGAAAAAGACAGAAGTTTTCTATCAACCTACACCTCAGGAAGTCTTCCATCATCCCCATATCACCATTGTCAAATCAGAGCTCAAATCAGTCCAGCAGTTTAATTACCTAGGTGACCTCATCTCCTTGGATGGTAAGATTGACAAAGAGACAGACAACAGGTTAGCAAAGGCATATAGTGCTTTTGGAAAACTCCACAAAAGAGTATGGCGTAATAAACACTTGAAGAAAAGTACAAAGATCAATGTTTACAGAGCCATTGTGCTGTCTATTCTTTTATATGGATCTGAATCATGGGTCATTTACCACCACCACCTGCGTCTCCTAGAACGCTTCCATCAACGCTGCCTCTGTACAGTCCTAAACGTCCACTGGTCAGATTATCTGACCAATACATCTGTTCTAGAACAGGCAGCGGTTACGAGTATTGAGGCCATGTTGCTGAGAACACAGCTGTGCTGGGCAGGGCTTGTCTCAAGGATGAAGGACCACCACCTCCCTAAGACCTTGCTTTATGGTGAACTTGCCACCGGCTGCCGCATAAGAGGAGCCCCAAAGAGAAGATACAAGGGCTCCCTGAAACAACATCTCAGCCTTGGCCATATTGATCATCAACACTGGTCTACTCTGGCCTCCAATCAGGAGGTCTGGAGACACACCATCTATAACTGCTGATGCCTTTGAGAACGCACGCAGGATCACTCTTGAGGAGAAAAGGCAACGCAGAAAGAATTATGTCTTGTCGATACTACCTAAGAGTCTTTCTGCTGTGCCTTTTGCAACTGGACTTGTCTATCTCACATTGGCCTTTTTAGCCACCATCGGGCCTGTAGCAAATGTGGGTAGAGTCTTTCCCAAATCTTCGTTCGCGAAGCCCAGCCATGATGATGATGATGAAATAAAATTTTAAACCTGTTTAAGATCACTTGGTGCTTTATAGACATATTTGAAAGAAATTTCTTCGGACATATTCAAAATCAGGGCATTACTGCCATTCATTTATAGATGTGTATTTTCATTATAAACAAGGTGCAGCCAAAAGCCCTTCTGGTGAGTGTTGACTAGGGAATTTTGCAGGGGTTTGAAAGCATGGTCTGACTCCAGTTTGATTAGAGAGGAGTATGGGTATATCTGCTGTAACACAGTCCTTACCATGCTTTTGGAGAGTTCATCTGATACTCCTTTCTGTACTTGACTGCTTTGGAAGAATCTCTTTATGTCTCGTTTGCTCAGGGAAGAATATGTAACATAACTTGTATGCTTGAACAACATGCACCAAGCAAAGACTTCCAGGCCTATATGTTGCTGAAATAGGTTTCAAGTTATTTATCACTCAGAGGTGCAAGGAAACAAAGGCAGTAGAAAAATACTATCAGCCAGTTTTGTGGTTGTTTTGGTTTTGGATAGTGCTCTACCCTTCTGGGTCCCAGGTGTAGCATCTGTGCTCAGCATCTCTCTCTCTCTCCACACTTGAATGCTGGTCTCATTCTTCCTCCCTAGACTTCATTTTGTCTCAATTAACTCTGACTTTTGTGCTACCTGAATTCAGCCAAATGGGCTTGAAAACAGAGGAGAGAAAAATTTTTCACTACTTCCCACATTTCTCTCATAGGGTAAGTCTTGTTCCACTTGGACTCTTCAGAGACTTCTTCAGTAAATATCCAGCAAATATACCCTAAATCCACAAGCTAAAGTTTTTATCCCAGAATTTTACCACTTGATGTAATTTAGCAGAATTTCTCAGGGATACGTAGAAGTGCATCCCCAGGAGAATTCATTCCACTGTCAGTTTTCTATTTCCTACTAGAATGTCAAAAGTATTAAAACTTCTTTAACAAAAAGTCAATAAAATGGGGGGAAGAAACATTGGTTTTCCACAACTGGTTTTTTTTTCTTCTTCTTGCTGAAGATTTAAAAATAAATGAAATAAAAATTCACTTCAAAAGAGATTTTTGCAAGTAAAATTGTAGTTTGCAAAATTTAGTATAAGGATGAGCACTCAAAAATAACAGACAGCTTTTAATAACATGGAAAATTATCAGTTTGCTTGCAATATATACATATGAAGATTATAAGATAAATATCCATGTTATTATAGTTATTGTCTTAACTCTCTGCTGTACAGCAAAAAATGATTGTATGGCTCTCTGAATTGCTTAGAAATTGAGATTTGTATTATTTTCTCCATATCTCTATATTTTTATTAGGGGAGGAGTTTTGTACAAGGCATCTTTAGTATAATTACAGAAAACTAGCAATCTCTAGGTTACATTTTTAAAAAATGATACAGTATGAGCTCTTCTATAATTAGAGATAGTTATTTTTGCCCTTATGTGCTCCTTTCCCCTGAGGATCAAAAAGTTTTTTACAAACATTACATAAACCTCACAAGTTATCGTTGTATCCAAAGATTCATACATTGACTTATTTGGTTTGCAGGAGCTGCAAATGAACTAGTTCCCTGAAAGTTCATCTAGAGGTTTGAATTCATCGTGTATTGAGCTGTAAGTGAGTCTAACTTTACTCTTTAACTTCCCATTTCTTTCCCCATTTTCAAAAGTTTTATGCTCTAGTTGTGCACATAAGATGTAAGAGAAGACATGTTTTGATGTTCTCAGGCTGCAAAAATGAAGGCGGCATGTGAATTTAGCAGGTCTGCAGCTCCTCAGAGACTCTTGGGATGTTTTTATTCATGGGAAAAGGTTTACGAGTATGTCTGACTGTTGACACCAACTATAAATAAGACCCTATTATTTTTATATGGATTTGATGCTGTAGTCTAAAGAAAGTTATTATATGCCCCTTCAGATCAGAACTGGGATTTCTGAAAAGCTTGAGGTCTGCTAATGAAAAGTCAGATAAAGAATCAGTACTACTATAGTGACATGCAAGGTCTGAATTAGAGACATATTGTTATTGGCTCTTTTGGGGGGGTTTTTTACTCCTTACCACTTTAAAGATCTCAATTAAGCAGGCACAAACAATTGCATTAAACCCCCAGAAGAAAATGGTTTCCTTGATCATAAAAAATAATAGTTTCAGGTTTCCTTGATCATAAAAAATAATAGTTTCATTTTACCTTCCTCGCAGATTTGACTTGTTGTTGATACAGCGTAAACCTTCAAAAGCAAAAAAACCCCCCAACATACCCTTGGTTAAAATGGCATTATTTGTGCTATAATTAATTAAAATGAAGCATCATTTAATGACAAAATTGCTATCTGGATTGATAACAGATTTCTCAACTGTGAGTTTATATTATTTGTTAGGCAAATTCTAAGATTAGGAAAACATGTTACAGTTTTTGTGTATAAATCACTGCAATATATCTAGTGTTCTTCAGGCTAGAGAAATAATTTGTATTTTAAATGCAAAATCCAGTGAGAGAATAGCAGCCATAAGGATCTGACTGTATTCATGATCCATAGGGCATATGTGACCATCTGCATGAAAGCCAGTTTATTTTCAAGCTGGTGACCCATCCTTGCAGCAATCCCATCATGACTCCACCAAAAAGAGCCACTATTGGAGGAATAGGCTTTCTTCTAGAGGCTACAGACTCCAGTAAGCTGGGATGGGAATGAAAGGAGACTCAACTTGATAGTTAAGATTTCATTAGAATTCCTATTAGGTACTGAACGTGTTCTAAAGGGGGAGAAATGGTGTTGCAGGCAGCTACATGTTTTTGGAGTATAGGTCCTGCCAAATTGCCCTGCCACTTCTTTTTCTTTATGGGTGATTTGTGGGCCAGTGTGAATAATCAAGGTTTACTTTACTCAGCAGGTGAAGTGGGAATAGTGATTGAAAAGATATAGCAGTGTTGCTTCAGATTAATTTAAAACTAATAATTTTTTAAATTTGGTGAACTGAAACTATTAATTTCAGACTTCATTCATTCAGAAGTTAGTTCAGTTATTGGGATATTTTAAGGGCAAAAAGGCAGCTGCTACAGAAGCTTCTGTGCTGCTTTTGGATAACTCAGGGTTTAGAACATGACCACTCACTGAAGTGTAATTCATTGCCCACACAGATCCTTTCCTCATTATTGGAGGTTGTCTAATTTCCAAGGAACTGAGAATCTGTCCATCTTAAACCACTGCATTTTTATGAACTTTGTTATATTATAAAACATATTTTTATGTATGAAAGGTAATTAAATCTAGGTTGCTTACTGATTAGATAGGTGTCTTTTATTGACCTTCATGTACTTTCTTGTCTCTCTGGGCTACATAATGCTTACTTTATATAAAGTAGACCACACTAACAGGAGAATTTTATTCCCAAATTCCCTCAAGTCCAGTGGTGCATGCATAGAAGGTGAACATGTCAGTTCAAGTTGTTGTGGAATCAGAGGAGAGCTTGAACCCAAGTGACCAGCATTGTACTCATCTCTGAGGTTCCCAGACTGTTATTCATTATTACAACTGTTCAATCCTAACTGTTGAACCAGTGTATTTTACTGTTATCAAAATGAACAGGTTGGATAGTGGTCTCATACAAGAAATATTCTTTTGAAACTATTGTCTGAATTTTATCTGAAAATATGCCATTCTGTGTTGATTAACTTTTGTCTGGCAAATAAATTCTTCCCTGTTCCTTTCCTCTTACCCTATTATAGCTCAGCACTTGTGATTTGACTCATCAGCCAGCCCGGCATGGTTCTTTTCTGAATCTGATGCAAAAGAGAATAGCTCTGTCTGTCTGTAAATGGGCTCATCATTATTTTCATTCTAATAACAAATGATTCTTATCATGAGATAATACTGTGTGCCGTATATATACTGCTGGTTATCACACGATTCCTACGTAGGAGTCTGGATGGAGGCAGAAACCCCACTTACTCTCTTGTGTTAGAAACCAGGAACCACTGTAGTAGTGACTGGCACTTCCACAGCTGTGAGTTGCACCAAGTGCTGTCTTGGTGCAATGCCAGGCTGATCTGGTGGGAACATAAAGGTTGGTTTAAGGTCCCCTTGCACATTGCTGCTGCCTTTGTCATATACAGTCTGTGCTACTGAGCTGTGATTGAGCTCTTAGATCTATGAATATATACTTTATTTGCAGACACTATGGTTAAAAAAAAAAGGACAAGGAAGGAGGGAATATAAGCTACTAATACTTTGTTTCTGCTATATTAGTAGCAGCTTGCTAAAGTGGCCTGCCATCAAACAGTATTTATGGCAATGTATAAAACATATTAGTGACATCCCTTTTAAATTCAAAAGCTTTAGCTAATATTACTGTCTGCATTCAAAGCAGAGCTCAGTGCCTAAAAGCCGGTCAATAAACATTTTAGTACTGCTCTATTCCAGTGATCTGAATTCAATAATGTTACCTTTCCAGAAGCTGCAGAATGGAAAGTGAAAGAATGATTTATGAAGCTTAGCTATGCATGGCCAGATAAGAAAGCTTTAACTGATGCTTGCAGGATTCTCTTTAATGAAGTACAAGTTGCCAAGATAAGTTTAGGTAAATGAAGCCTCTGTCACAATATGTTACAGCAAAAGAAATGACAGAGACAGCAGAGCAGATGGAGGTTATTACAGAACAGTGGTGTCAAGAATTGTAGTCTAGGTAACTGCACAAAGACAGAACAGATGCATTAAGTTTGGTATTAGCAATTTCATGATACAAACAAATATTTATAGAATCTGTTTAAATTAAGCCTAGCGAGTGTCTTTCCTTAAATTGTCATTTAGCCTTCATTGAGATCATAGCACTAAGCCATCACTCTCTTTTGGGTAGAATTCTTCTCTTTTAGTGCCACCTTCTATTTTTGATGTTGTCATTAACTGCAAAGCCCCTTTACTTTTCTCTTCAAAATGTTGTTGGTTTGTTTGTTTATTTTTAATGCCTGCCTTGTTGGCAATATTAAGCAGCATTAATTCAAATTAGTAAAATTCCTATTGTCTTTTTTTAACATCCTAATTTAACATGTAACAGCCTATTGTAAATTAAATGAGATGGGTGAACCTATGCTTGATTGTTGGGGCACAGGACCTAGAATTAGCAGTGTGAAAAACTTATTTTGAGTTCTGCCCTTTTCAGGAAAAAACTAGGACTAAGTCAATGTGGAATCTGCATTTGTATTGTGTTCTGTTCAGTCCTGTTTTACGTTAAGTAGATGAATTATTTTTAGGGAAAAAGATGAATCATTAGGGAGCTTATCCTAAATATGACTTTTGAGACTGTACTTGAAATAAGTAAATAAGCTTGTTTGGTGATTGTTTCTTGAAAAACATGGTGTCCAATCCTAATTTTCTTAGAATTTAGAGAGTTTCAAACCACAGGGTCAGGAAAATACAGTTCTTTTTCCTTACATCCTGTCAAAAAGTGTATATAGCTTCCAAAGGGAGGTCTGTCACACCTGTAGGACGACAGCCTCCGTGGTGAGCAGGCTGACAGACAAGTACATTGAGTTCCTGTACAAATACACGTGAGATTGAATCTCACATGGTTATGTCACACCATCCATCTCCTTGGCCAGGGTGCTTTGTTCTTGTGTTTGCCCTGACTATCGAAAATTCAGCACTGAAGGCACATATTATCTTTATGCACTGATTGGTTTATTTCATAGACTGTGTTGTGTCTTTTTGGTGGAAGCATATGGTGGTGCAGGTAAAGGAGAATGTGGTATGAAGTACACCTTCTTAACAATTTGAATGCCTCCAGAACTAAGATTAAACCAGTTAGTGAAGACTCTTTGGTACAATAAGAAACCAAAATAATTTTTATTCCTCTGCTTCTTTGTATGTCAGAAGTTTTCTCCTTCCCTTCCCTTTCTTAAAAATTAATGGCTTGGTCTTCTTTCTATGATACCTCTGATCCATGGCTTAAGTTTTACCTCTTTTGTGACTGTTGAAGTCTCTTTTCAGCATCTTTCTTATGTAAGTCAGTGTGGGAAGAATGAAGGAAAGGGAAGAGTGGAGAAGGATGGTAAGGGAGGAAAAATAGGAAGAAGCAAGGGAACCCGCAGACATCTAATTTTTTCCCTATGGCTAAAAAAAGAACAGGGAGGATCTGCATTTGCTCTGTTTAGTTCCAATGTGCTTCCGTAACCTGGTGGAGTTGTCATTCATTTATTGAGAAATGACATTCACCTTGAGGCAGAACCCTACTCCATTGTGAAATCTGTGTATTACCAAAGCTTGATTTTCTATCTCTATGCTGTCTTCAGCTCTAGTCTGATAATTAAAAGAGTGCTGTAGAATGAAACGTGAACTGATGCCACAAAACTCACTTAATGCAGATGAATTGTGTATTTTATTTTTTTCAGATCTGAAGGTTACTAACCTTGGAATTAAAGGTATTTTCTGCTGGGGTTCTTTTTCTTTAATTTTAAGACAAAAATCTTCCAGCGTACAAAGAACTAAGACATCTCTGCCTTGGTTTTGCTGATGTTATGCTTTTTGTAACAATTTAGCTTGTAGGTAAACAAAGACAGATTCCATTCAGATGCCACAATTGGCTCAGCATTCCTTGTGGCGTTTTAATAATAGTTGTA